CCGCGTTTCGCTTCAATTAATTTGAAGGGTTTGTTCCTCGCTCGATGATGAACACAACGGTGGTTTCAAAACAACGATCGGAATTCGGACAGCGTCGGAATCGAGTTTGGAAGTTGTGTGCGTGAGGAATGATTTGTGAAATTGATTTCTGTTTTTCAAAACAGAAATCACGCATATAACAATTGCCTGCTGACACTCCAAGGTTAAATTCAGGGATTGATCCCTGAATTTTCTTTAACTTTAAAACAAGCTCCAAGTTTTAAAATCTTTCAATTCAGTCCCAAATTTTCGCCAAATTTTCACAATTAAACCCTCCAATTTTAATTAAATATTATTTTGAAAATCGGGTTGTTACATGTATCATGTAATAATAAATTATGACACAAAATTAAGTTGTCAATTATATTACGTGTACTAATTAAGTGACTACAAACTGATAGTTGATGGTGTGTTTCTTATATATTAGGCTTAATATAAAAAAAAAAATCCAAATTATATCTCTTTTTTCATTTAGGTGTCTAAACTTTTTTCGGTCATTGTAAATGTCTAACATTACCATGTTAAGTGCCTCGATCGTGATAGATATTAAAAAATCATTAAAAATCAGTCAATCACTCAAAATTTGACACACTTCACATTTATAACTTTTTAAAAAAATATATTTTAAAAATCTTAAATCTATTATTATTCTAAAAACCCAATTTTTTTCTAAATACTAAAAAAACCCCTAAAATCCTTAACCCAAAACATCAACCCCACTCGTCGACCTTCCACTACCATTGTCGCCCCTACCAGTCGTCTATCCATCTGTCATCGGTCATCACTCGTAGCCTCAATCTCCAAAATCTCGAAATCCCTAAATCCCAAGGCACACATCCATCCCAACTAAAGGGTGAGTGTCGACGGGTGATTGGGTGATCACTGACGGTGATGGTGGTCAGCGACAAAATTAAAGGGATATTTTGAAATTTTATGAAATTTTAGGTATTTTCTAAAAAATAGGAAAAGTTTAGGTTTTTAAAAAAATAAAGGAAATAAAAAATAAAGATATGTGTCAAACACAAAGTGATTGATTAATATTTAACGAATTTTTTTAACGTTTGTTACAACCGAGACAGTTAAAATGACAACGCTAATAATGTTAGACAACTACATTGACCGAAAAAAGTTTAGACACTTAAATGAGAAAATATGTATAGTGTAAATTTTAAACACTTTTTATATTAAGTGTAATATTTAATAAACTCACCATCAACTATCAATTTGTGTAGTCACTTAATTTGTATATCTAACATAATTAATTATTTAATTTTATGTTATAATTTATAAAGACACATTATACATATGTATCTATAATTATGGATTTTAATCCAACACTTGTCTGTCACTACAACCAAGTTTTTTTGGTCTTTCATGGTTGAATTTTAGATCGAGAAGTTGGTTAAAAGAATGAAGGAAGATCAAGTTTGCTAGAGAATATGAGAGGGACTAAATTGGAATAATGTTAAATGTTAAATTTTTAAAATCAGGAGCCTATAATAAAGTATAAAAGTTGACAGCTACATTTGATAATAAGTAAATTTTATTAATTTTCATATCATCTTCTATCAATTTTTTTTAATGAAAACAATCAATTTATTAATTTTTAAATCGTAAATCTCCTACAACCAAAGAAATATCTACATATTGTACCCTATTATTAAATCATACATGGGTGTCAAAAGATGCGTGTAAAGTTGCAACGAATAAGAATGGGCACGAAACTTGAATCCGGCGTGTTCGTATCCGACCTGTCTGACCCATGCCCATCCCTAGCAATGATAGTTGGGTGGTGCAACATTCCAATTGTCGGTTGATTCCTTAGTGATTATCCCTTTTTTCATATTCTATTTATAGTTGTTTGGATAATGCGATAAATGAGAGAATAGTCACCCAAACCTATTGAGATTTCTTTTTCTAGTGCACTTTGAAATTGGTTTACGGTGATTATAAGTTAATATATATTTATATTTTTTTAATTCTTTGATAATATACATTTGCCCTACATGCACAACTGCTCGAACACATATATTTAAAAATATCAATATTTCTTTTTTGTCACTGAAGAATTCTTACTTGATTGAGGGGGGAAAAGGGTTGACTTTACCTTCCTAAGTGTAGTAGTTTACTATTCAAATTGCACCTTTGATTGTGATTTTGGTAATTGTAATATATTATTTGATTTACTATATGTTAAAATTGTATCAAATATGAAGCATAGCTTTTATATACCAAAAATTAATTAGTTTAGTAGGACGAGACATTAAATTTTTAAGATTACAAGTTCGAATCCTAACAAATACATATAGAGTAAATTTAGTTAGAAAATTTGTTCCCACAATAGGCTTATACAAAATCTGATATGGATTAGTAAATTAATAGTTAATTAAAAAGCATGTTTTATACTTGCTCATATTATTTTTTTCCTATTTTTTAAAATATTTGTGTTACTTTAATTTAATTCTTTAATTAAAATTTTAAGGGTTAAGTACTCAAATGGTCCTCCGACTATGGGGTACTGCTTTATTAAGTCTCACGACTATTAAAAGATACAAAATGCTCCTTCGACTATAGAGTGTTACTTTGTTGAGCCCCTCAACTATTAAAAGTTACAAAATGTTCACTTGACTATTCATTATGTTACAAACTCGTCCTTTTCTATTAAAAAATTGATAGTATTTTGAGTTGAATGTTAACCTACTGACTGTGATATGATAAAATATGATCTCAGAATCTAAACGATTATCATATCTTAGTCATCATGTTAACATCTAGCTTAGACAATCGTCAAATTTTAAATGGAAAAGGATGGGTTTGGAACATAACGAATAGTCGGGTGACCATTTTGTAATTTTTAATAGTTGAGGGACTCAACAAAGCAACGCTCTATAGTCCAAGGATCATTTTGTAACTTTTAGTAGTCGAGGGACTTGATAAATCAGTATCCTATAGTCGAGGACCATTTGTATACTTTACCCAAATTTTAAATACACACTTCATCAATTGGTTAATGAAAACCTCCACTAATGTATGCCATAATCACCCATGATAATAATAAGAAAATGATTGTTTTCCTCCCATGGACCTGATTTGTAACCCAAATTAGGGCGTAGTTGGGTTGGGACTCTGGGCTGAACTTCAAAAAAAAAATCAAATATTAGTGTGTAGATAGTCGATTATTCGAGTTAGGTATCTTCATTTATTCAAAAAAATATATATTTATATATTGAAATATGATATCAGTTTAGTTAGTTTTATATATTTTAATATTAATTTAATAAAATCATATATTTGAAAGAATTTAATATTAATTCAAAAAATATATATATTTATATATTGAAATATATTAGTTGATTTGAGAAACTGATTTGATTAACTCTTTATATAGAAGTGTTCGGTAAAATTTAACAGATAATTGATATAGGTAAAATGACAAAAAAAGGTATAATACAATTATTTGTTGAGTACATATACGTTTTATAATACTTTAATCTTTATTGGGGTGAAATTATTCTGATAAAATGATTTCGACATGAAATTTAAAATTCTTTAAGAAAATTATTTTTAAAAAATTTGAATATATTTTTTAAATTTAATATTTACAAATATTAACCTTGTGAGATTGATGTAAACTATTAACTTTGTATAAAATATCAACACTACATTTTTTTTTACTTTCATGTTTTGCTATATTTTCTTAACTAAAATATATTTGGGAATTAGAATAACAAAATAAAATTCAGCTTAAATATATTATGATGAAGCCTATTTCATATTATTAAGTTTATGGTAAGGATGTAATTATGGAAAAAAATAAAGGGGTGTTTGGCAAACAACTTGTTGAAGAACTTTAGCTTATTTGAACATAAATAGTTGATTGGTAGTCAAATCTTTCATTTTTAGTGTTTGGTAAATACTTTTTTGAAAAAAATTATTGTGCAAAATAAGTTGAAAATGAAAATGCTTCAACGGTTTGGAAGAGCTGATTGCAAAATAAGATGTAAAATGACATATTTGAATGTTTTTGGGTGGATTACCTTATTGATATTTTGAGTCTCGGTTTTTCTATATTTATTGAATTGTTGAATATATTTAGAGATGGATAATTGATTTAAATTTGATGAGTTTTGATTTGTTTCGGTTTACTTTAATAAGTTTAGTTTTTTTAAATAAAGAAACTCAAGTTTAAGTTTGCGTCGGGCTTTTGGAAGAATAAATTCGAGTTCATATTTAGGGTGAAAAATATCAGATCCGATTCAATCGGAGAAAAATAATGTCATTAACCTTTATATATTTAGAGACAATTACTATAACATCCATCTCTTTATATATATATATATATATATATATATATATATATAAGGATCTATTTAATAAAAGTAAGAAATTTTTATACATATATTTGTGTCGGATAGGTTTGGGTGAGAATTTTTATCCTAAAAATCAGGTCAAAATTTAAGTTTGATGAAATTTTCCTAAACTTGAATTAGATTAAATAACAAGTGAAGGAGTATTATATTCGAATTAAGTTTGAATGCATCATAATTCGACCTGAATCAACCATACACATCCCTAAGTATACCCAACTATTGTTATACTAGATAATCTAACATATTTTTTTAATCAATATAATGTGTCAATTATTAAGTAATTAGATGAAAAAAATTATATAATTTAAATATTTGTTTTTACAAAAATATTTTAAATATTTAGATAAAAATAAACAATTTAAATAATGATTTATATAAATTTGTTTTAAATATTTGAATAAAAAGATAACATATCTTTAAGTAGTTATTTTTAAAATAATTAATCCTTCAACTTAGTTCCATTTCCGGGCAGCCCGAGCTCAACGGTCATTTTACACGATGAATTGGTGAGTAGGCTGCCCGTGTTGCCCGATTCCGAACTGAAAAAGTGACGGGCAGTCAATCCCTATCCCCGGTTCTCTCTCTTCCCCTTCCTCCATTTTTCTGCTGCTGTATCTTTTCTTCCCTCTCAATGTCTTCTTGATCACGATCCGACGGTCCAAAATGAAAGCTTATCCTTTCGCTTGTTTTCTTTGCCTTTAGTGCTGGAAAATCCTCAGATCCACTATCGCTTCCTTCCAACGCTTATACTTTTCGCTCGTTTCCTTTGCTTTTAGCTCTGCAAATCCACAGATCTACTCTTTTTGACCTCTGATCTCCGTTTCTCGGTAAGCTCCTTTCCTCGTGTCTTCTTTCCAATTTAGAACGTTTTCGAATCTCTTTAATCTTTAACTAATTTTAGTTATGCTGCTTTTCTTTTCTCAAAACAAAAGGCTTATTTTTACGAAAATCAACTTTCCGCCGGCGAGTTTTGCTCGTAATTGAATGTTCTTTGTTGTGTTCTTTCCCCCCCTTTTTTGGTTCGAGTGTTTTTCGACTAAAGAGAACTTATTTTTTAGTATAATTCCCGCTAATTTTTATTTTGATATTTTCGCACTGTGGGAGAAATATTTATCTTTTTTCTTAAAAAATCATAATATTTTGAATTTTTGTTATGCTTTTGCTAGTCCGTACTGTACTCCGTAGGGATAAAGTGATATATCTAACGGCTGACACAGCTCCAATGTAGATCTAACTGTGGAAAGTCTTTTTCTTTCTGTGCAGGTTACGTTTTTCGATTTATCGTTGGCCGTAGTGAAACAGAGAAGCTGACCTTCGTTCAATGGCGGTTACGGTTAGTCACGTCACGCTAACATGCGCCGGTGAAACTCTAGCAACCATTCTCGTTTCGGCTCTCGCCAAAACCCACCTTTTAGCTCTGGTAACTTGGCTTTTCTTTTACTCCTATTTATTTATTTTTCTAATACATTATTCTCCTGACCATGGCCTTTACTTTCATGCTATTTTTTTAATTTTTTTTTGCTACGGGTTGCTCAGTTTTTTGCTATTAGCCATTGTAGGATTATCCTGTTCGAGACCCCTTTTTCTACTCAATTATTTAGCCTTTTTATTTTTACCGATCAATCATACTACATAACTATTTAATTGTATTTAATTAGATCACTAACCGTTAAAATTTAACAGAAATGATGATGTGACAATTAAAATATTTGATATAATTACACATCCAGTTACTAATACTTACATATTATATTAATTTGATCTTAATTTTAATAAATTAAAATAAATTTTATTATCAAATCAAATTAAATCATATGTCATCATCCAATTGAAGGATTAATTATATTTTAATTTATTTTTAATTTAATATATTTTCCTCAGGGTAACACGTGTCACCTTGAAGTGGAAATAAAATAAAGTACACATCAAGTGCTTGTTGGGAGAATCGAAACTGGTAACCTTAAAAACTAAGGGGCTTGATCAACCACTGAGCTAAAATACACTTTTGATCTTATGCATACAATATATAGTATAGAAGAATATTTTATATATTTTAATTTAAATTCACATACTAAATTAAATTCATATCTTAACATTAAAAAATATATTTTATTTTATATTAATTTATTAAATATATTTTAAGTTTATTTTATTTAAAAAATATATTTTACTCTTATTTTAACTAAAAAATATATCTTATTCTTATATTACCTTTAAAAATATATCTTATCCTTATATTAACTTAAAAATAGATTTTTATATTAACTTTTAAAAATATATCTTAAATTAAAGTAAAAGGAAAATATATTTCATAAGGTAAGATAAAAATAAAATACTTTTTGAACTAAAATAAATTTAAAATATATTTTTAAGTTAGAATAAGACTAAAATATATTTTTAATGTTAAGATGTGAATTTAAATTAAAATATATAGAATATTAAGAATTTACACATTAATACATAATATATAACATATATTATATGCAAAAGACTAAAAGTGTATCTTTGTTCAATGATTGAGTAGGCTCCTTATAGTTTCCAAGGTTGCCAAGTTTGAATCCCTCAGCAAGCTCTTGATGTGTGCTTCATTTTATTTATGTCACCCTGTGGTTGGAGGAAAAAGTATATTGAATTAAAAATAAATTAAAATATAATTAATCATTTAATTGGATGATGACACATGGCTTAATCTGATTTGATGATAAAATTTATTTTAATTTATTAAAATTAAGACCAAATTAATATAATATGTAAGTATCAATGATTGGATGTGTAATTATATCAAATGTTTTAACTATCACATCACTGTTCTCGTTAAATTTTAATGGTTAGTGATATGATTGAATATAATTAAATAGTTATATGGTATGATTGACAAAATTAAAAGATCGATAGTAAAAGTAAAATGACTAAATAATTAAGTGGTCAATGATATAATTTACCATTTTCTCTTTAGTAAATACATGATTTTATAATGAAAATCAATATATATTTTTGAGAAAAATACTATATATATATTTAAAATATATTCTTTGTGCTTTTTCGTGCTATAAGTATTTGATTCCATCACCACCACCCAGAAGAATTTGCTTTTGTTTTGCACTAGATTCCTGCTAAGATGCGCCGTTGTTGTTGGGGGGCTGAGATTTCATTTTAATACGAGATAATTCGTCTTCACAGTTTTATTTTTAAACAAAAAAAAGAATGACTAATTATCTTTTATAAACTCAATCTGGCGTTTGGACCAGTCTACTACCTCACCTCTCCCTTATCCTATTGCATATGGGAATAGAGTTTTGTTGTTATTATTGTTGTTGTAATTATCTTTTATAAAATCATAAGCTTAATATTCGTAATTAAAAGAATTAAATATACCGTATGAACTATTTTTTTTTAGATTAAAATTATCCAAAAATAAATCGACACCTCAAAAGGATTTTTGTTTTTGTTAATGGGGTGTCTAACATGTATCGCTTCGGTATTGATAACTTGCGCTTTTGGATGGGGCAGATAGATAAGATATTAAATAGTAGTTGTTCGGAGGGCGGTTTGAGTTTTGTCGCATGTAATCAAATTATTTCAGTTGACTATTCTATAAAATATAGTATAAAATATATTCAAGTTTTATTTCTTTTGGAATTTTATAAATAATTAAACAAATTTATTAACCAATATTAAAATAAGATAATTTTATTGGAAAAAATTCATCATTAAAGTTTTTCTTATAAATACGTAGAGTTAAACTTTTTAATATTATACGAATCAAATTATCTCAATAATTAAATAAAATTTTATTTTTAGATGTCATAGACTATAGAGTATAGGAGACTATAAAATATTTTAAATTTTACTTTCAATAAATAATAGTGTTTACAATAAATATTATCACTTGTAACCTCTATAAATTATTAAAAAATATATCTCTGTTATGAAATCGAATATTCCTCGGATAATATCCTAGTCAAGTTTAAGTGCCACGTCACGCCTTTTTTTTGGTTTATCTTTTACTTTTTTTTTTGCAACTGATTAAGTAATCCTACTTTTTATGTCAAAGTCCTAATGATAATATTTTTTTAATTATTATTTGAGTTATTTGCTTCACAGTCTTCAAATTATGATCTTTATAGTAAATTGGTCTCTAAAGTTTTTAATATTCTAAAATTATCCTAAACTATGACTATCATTTTAAGTTAATCCTTAAACTTTTGAATATTTTAATTTCATCTTCAAACTATGACTTTCATTCTAAAATGGTCCTCAAACTTTTTGAACACTTCAATTTCATCCCAAATGTGTATATACTAATCATACCCTTCGTTAATAAAACCGTTATACCAAGTTATATTATTATATGTTTGAAAAAAATAAAATTTAGGTAAACTATGATTGAAACTAATTATATATTTGGACGAATTTGGGGATGAAATTAGAAGATTCAAAAGTTTGGAGACCAATTTATAATGAGGGTTATATTTTGAAGATGAAATTGAAAAGTTTAAAAGTTTAAGGACTAATTTAAAATGAGTCATAATTTGAGGGTGAAATGATTATATTCAAAAGTTTAAGGACCATAATTTAAGAACATATAATGTAATTAACTCGATCATAATTATGTTGTAACTAAGAGCCTTAGCTCTGCTTTTATGTACTCTTTGTTTTATTGGCTAAAAAGCTTTTCATACTTATAACTGCTAATGTAGCTCTGTTTTAAACCGTGCTGTGAATACATTTTTTTTATTGGTTCCAGAGCTCCTTCACATTGCTGCTGGGCGACCAGTCACAAAACCAGCCTAAGCCGAATGACGCTGACGGGGAAGATGACAATGACGACAACGACAACGGGGGTGATGAGTTTGGAGATGGTGAAGAGGAGCTGTCCTCGGAATGTGGGGAATACGACAAAAATGGTAACAGCAACAAGAACAACCCGAAGAAGGGACCGGAAGGCGGCACAGGTGGGGCAGAACAGAATGGAGAAGATGACGAAGAAGATGACGGCAACAATGGAGATGGTGAAGACCCGGAGGATGAGGAGGACGATGAAGATGACGAGGATGATGATGATGGAGGTGAAGAGGATGTTGAAGGAGTGGAAAGCGAGGAGGAGGAAGAAGACGAGGAAGCTCTTCAGCCACCAAAGAAAAGGAAGAAGTAAATTGGTTATAAATAAGTTGAAGTCTCCCTTTGTTATAGGTAAACTTGTTCATCTAACATTATGATGTTTTATTTAGGCATCAAGGAGGCTGTTTAGGGTTAATGTTTTTACGCATATATATCATTTGCATAATTAGAGTACGGTCGGAACTATTTGGATTCAATTAGAAAACAACGCGTATGATTCCTCCAGCCGTTAGTTCTCATAAAAAGTTAATAGATATGATAGTTTTGCTAAAATGATTTTGCAAAGATGGAATACCTTCATTGTTTGAAACCTACCCTATCCTTCCAAACCCATTAAACATAAGCAACTCTTGAAACAAACAACAATGATATTAGCGAAGGGAGGGACGGACGTAGGATTCTATTTTAGGGGGACGAACTTAAACTTATAAAATTATAGGGGCATAACTTAAATTTATAAATTTTCAGGAAGACGAAAACATATTTTTAATAAAAAAATATTCCGCATCCCGTATTGGGACTAAATTGAAAGTATTGTAAAAGTCAATGTTGGTTTGCGAGTTTTTGAAAGTTTAGGGAATTAGAGAACAATTTACCCAAAAGTTTAAGTTTGTTTAAAAACCAACATCTTTCTAATCCACTATTTTCCCCTGTTCGTGAAAACCAGAAACTTTTTCTCTCTATCTACCCATTTTAGTTTTTCTTCGATTCATCGCTAACTGTGTGGTGGTGTGCGACACTTCTAGTACCATTGTGTTTGTCTCGTCGACCCCGTTCGTCCGATATTCTTGAATTTCTATTCACCATCGTCGTTTGTAATAAGTGAAGGTTCAAATAGTCGGGTTTTAAAAAAAACCATTTCCATCTATCTTTTCGGGAAACCGATAATTGTAAGTGACTTCTCTTGCTTTAAAATATTTGCTAGAATTTTTCTGTATTTTTCCAGCCACTGGAGGAGGTCCCACGTGCCTCACTCGTCGTTGAACGAGAGTGGGTTTCCTTATGCTGGTTTGATTGAGTCGATTTGACCGTGAACAGGTCTTGACCCATTGACTTTGACTGACCCGACCTGACCTGTTGACTTTGATCGACCCGACTCGTTGACTTTAATCGTTGACTTTTTTCGTTGACTTTTTCGATGACTGTTGACTTCTTTTAAGACCTCTATCTTGACATTTTTCGACGTCTTAAATCCGTTTTGCCAAATTCTAACCTGAAAGTCTTGTTTTTGCATCGTTTTTCATTTTAAGTCCTAATTATGTTAAGTAAATTGTGAGGTTTTGAACTCACTTTTAGGTTTTAATATTTTGAAAGTGTCCTCATGTCTCCGGATCGCTCACCAGTAGACCTTGACCACTTCCATTCTACTCAGTCGAGTCCGCTCACTCGTCCCGATACACGCGTAAGTATTAAATTAATGATTTTATAGTATATTTCTGTTTAGATTATTGGCATCTACATTTATGGAAGAGTATTGTTTTAGGTTCTCAATCCGCAGGATCTAGTACTACTGATCGTGGGAAACGTAAGGCCTAACCGATATAGATTATCTCTTATATATGTGTCCCTTTGATGAGTTCGATATATTTAACGTGTTATGTTATATGTTGCTATCTGTAAACATGTTTGTGATCTGATTATATATATATATACACCACATATATGACTTTTGAATGCTGTGAAATCACCATTAATCTGCATGTTGATGCATTTCTAATTAGGCATGGGATTAATTCCACGTTATGACATCTACATGAGATTAATTCCTCTTTCTGACATCTGCATGAGATTAATTCCCCGTTCTGACATTTGCATGAGAATATATCTCAGTTCTGTTTCTGTTGGGATCCTCTACGGAGGGCTAAATTCTCATTCTGATTTTGGTATTCAGTTTTGGATGTCTCCTTGTAAGGTAATATACATATTCTGTTGATTTGAAACGAAAGGTAAGATTGTGAATTTCTGTTGGGGACATTCTGCTGGTAAAATATCTAAATTTTAATATTGTTCGATTAATATTTTGTTTATTATTTTACGGTAAAATATCTGAATTTTAATATTGTTCGATTATTATTTTGTTTATTATTTTATGTTTGAATTTTCTGCATTTTGATATTACCTGATGTAATCTAGAGGACACATTGAGTTTTGTAGCTCACTCCATTTATGTCTTCACTTTTCAGATTAACCTGATATAGGACCAGTTTGGCTATCGAAGGCGTGGTCTCGATTATATAATGTATGGGGTTTAATATTTATTTCTCAATCTTTTTAAGATGTGGCATAAGTTTATTTTTGATTTTGTATTCGGTAAATGTTTCCAAAACGACTTATTAATCATTTTCGTTTGTGGATCATTTATGTGATCAACGTGATTACCCTGATTCAGTTGTAACTCCTAGGTTCAGTCTAAGGAGTTACATTTAATTGTATCAGAGCCCAAGTTTCAATTATCAGATTGTGCAGCTGCTATAGTTTTGATGTGTTTTATCGATCATATAAACAAGTCCGTTTAATTTATTCTGATTCGAACTGGTTATATTCCTGATAACTGTCTGGGTTGCTTACTTATGAGATTGTTTACTTTGGGGAGTTTCTCTTATCTATAAAGACTGGCCGAGATCTGGGATTTGTGTCATGGTTCTAAAAAAACTCTTCTTGAGACTCTGTTACACGATTAAAAATTTGGTACAACCTATTATACGTAGTCTGACGATCTATTTGGGCAAATTATTCATATTCTGAAATGTAAGTTGAAATGTTATATTATAGGGTTCTGAGATGATTAGATGATCATTTACAGTTGACTGAGGTCTACTCTTTGAAGGGTTATGTGATGAGTAGGACTAATTGCATAATATCAAGTTCTGATAATCATATTAATATCAATGGTTAAAGTATTGTGGGGTAACCATAGTTTTTAAGGTCATTTCAACGACTCTAGTGCCTATGAGAATGTTGTTTCCTCATCTTTTTTTGTCAAGTAAAATTTCGAGGTCGAAATTTTCTTAAGAGGGAGAGAGTTGTCACATCCCGAATTGGGAATAAATTGAAAGTATTGTAAAAGTCAATGTCGATTTGTGAGATTCTGAAAGTTTAGGGACTTAAGGAACAATTTACCCAAAAGTTTAAGTTGGTTTAAAATCCAACACATTTCTTCTCCACTCTTTTTCCCCTTGTTCGTGAAAACTAGAAACATTTTTCTCTCCATCTACCCATTTTAGTTTTACTTCGATTCACCGCTAACCGTGTGGTAGTGTGCGACACCTCTGGTACCATTGTGTTCGTCTCGTCGACCCTGTTCGTCAGGTGTTCTTGGATTTCTGTTTATCATTGTCAATTGTAACCAGTGAAGGTTCAAATAGTCAAGTTTTGTAAAAACCCCTTTTTCGTCAATCTTTTTGGGAAATCGATTATTGTAAGTGACTTCTCGTGCTTTAAATAATTATTGGAATATTTCTGTATTTTTTCAGCTATCGGATGAGGCCCCACGAGCCTCATGCACCCCCGGACGAGAGTGGGCTTTGTTATTTCGGTTTGATTGAATCAGTTTGACCCTGAACCAATTTTTACCCGTTAACTATGATCGACTCGACCCGTAGACTTTGACTGAATCGACCCGTTGACTTTGACTGTTGACTGTTGACCTTGACCATTAACTTTTCCGATGATTGTTGATTTTTTAAGACCTCTATATTGACATTTTTCGATGTCATGAGTATATTTTACCAAATTCTGACCTGAAAGCCTTGTTTTGCATCGTTTTTCATTTTAAGTCCTAATTATGTTAAGTAAATTGTGTTTTGAACTCAATTTTAGGTTTTGACTTTTTGAAGGTGTCCTCATGTCTCCGGATCGCTCACCAGTAGACCTTGACCACTTCCGTTCTGCTCAGTCGAGTCTGCTCACTCGTCCCGAGATATGCGTAAGTATTAAATTAATGATTTTATAGTATATTTCTGTTTAGATTATTGGCATCTACATTTATGGAAGAGTATTGTTTTAGGTTCTCAATCCGCAGGATCTAGTACTACTGATCGTGGGAAACGTAAGGCCTAGACGATATAGATTATCTCTTATAGATGTGTCCCTTTGACGTGTTTGATATATTTAACGTGTTATGTGATATTTTGCTATCTGTAAACATGTTTGTAATCTGATTATATATATACGTGACATATCTGACTTATGAATGTTGTGACATCACCATTAATTTGCATGTTGATGCATTTCTAATTAGGCATGGGATTAATTCCCTGTTCTGACATCTGCATGGGATTAATTCCCAATTCTGACATCTGCATGGGATTAATTCCCAATTCTGACATCTGCATGAGATTATATCTCCATTTTGTTTTTGTTGGGATCCTCTATGGATGGCTAAATTCTCATTCTGATTTTGGTATTCAGTTTTGGATGTCTCCTTGTAAGGTAATGTACATATTATGTTGATTCGGAATGAAAGGTAAGATTATGAATTTATGTTGGGACATTCTACTGGTAAAATATATGAATTTTAATATTGTTCGATTATTATTTTGTTTATTATTTTATGTTTGAATTTTCTGCATTTTGATATTACCTGATGTAATCTAAAGGACACACTAAGCTTTTTAGCTCATTTCGTTTATGTCCTTCTTTTTCAGATTCACCTGATATAGGACCAGTTTGGCTATCAGATGCGTGGTCTCAATTATATATTGTATGGGGTTTAATATATATTTCTCAACCTTCTTAAGATGTGGCATGAGCTTATTTCTGATTTTGTATTCGGTAAATGTTTCCAAAACGACTTATTAATAATTTTCGTTCGTGGATCGTTTATGCTTTCAACGTGGTCACCCTGATTCAGTTGTAGCTCTTAAGTTGGGTCTAGGGGTTACAAAAAAACATAGAAAAAAAAACTAAAATATTAGGTAATTTTAAAATTTTAGATGCGACTCCCCCATCCCCTCGGTCCATCACTGAGCATGGGGATCATCAGAAGCTTTTGCCAATTTGCAGTTCAAGATAATAAGGTGTCTCCTTTTTAACATGTAAAATAATGTAAATGTTAGATTTTAAATCTGACACTTCTTTTTCTTATCTTGCCAATACAAACTTGTTTTATTAATAAAAACTCCTCCTACACAAAAACACACTATAAAGTTAAAAAGCTATTCAAATCAAACATTAAATAATTCAAGCTCGACTGAACAAGGATTCGTCTAGTTCGTA